CGCCCTTCCAGAGCTGTCCGAGGCGAGAGGCCCCGCATCCAGGCATGGATCCGTTCTGGTGCGCGCCGCTGATCCCCTTGCCTCCTTGCAGCACGCGGCGGCGCGAAGCGTGCGGCTGCGCCGGCCGGCGCCGACCAGCGAGCTCACCTTGTCTGCTCCTCCGCGGCTGGACACGCTGTGCACTGTGCGCCCGGCTACCTGGGACCGGCCTGCAGCCGCGGCCCGGTGCCGGCGGCGGGCGCAAGCTCTGGGCCGGCGGCAGCGCTCGCCTCCGGCCGCTGCCGCATACCAAGATGGCGGCGCGCTGCAGCGCGGGCGGCCACTGGGCCGGGCTCGGCGCGCCGGCGGCTCCGTCAACGTGGTGGGCGCGGGCGGCGCTAGTCCAACATGGCCGGCGGCGGCGGCCGCGCGCTTGCTGTACTCTCTCGCTGGCGCCCAGCGCGCACCCGGCGCGCTGCACTGGCTCGCCCTCACGCGCCGACGCCGGCGGTCATGTCGCGTCGCGCCGCGCCGCTTCCCAGGCTGTGCCGCCGCCGCCGTCGGCCACGCCACTACGCCCGCTATTGATCGGCGCACCAGGCGCGACGAGCCGATCGGCGGCGGCGACGGCGACGGCGACGGCGCAGACGCTGCCGCCGCCGCCGCCGCCGCCGCGTCGGCTGGCGCGTGCGTGCACCTGGCCGCACGTGGAGGCGACGCCGGCGGCCGCCACCTGCCGCCGCCAGCGGGGGAGGGGCGGGGCCGGGTCGGCGGCGGGAGGCTGCAGCGGTTGTCACACCAGCAATGCAGGCCGACCGCGGACGGGCGGAGCGGTCGGCAAGCTTCGACAGCTGATACACGTCCCGTGGCTGGCTGGCTGCGTGGACCGACCGACGCCATTGGAAAGCCATGCGAAGAACCGCCACGCCGAGGCCTGCGGAGTTTCTTTCGCCGACATCGGTCAAAGACGGGCAGATTGGTACCAGATGGCAGGATCCATGAGAGCAAGTGTGCCGATCGCTACCCTGTCCGACTGCGGTCCATGAAACCCGCCATCAAACGCCACGCCACACAATGAGCAAGTGCTCCAGGGGCGCATCCGCGGCCAACAGCTTGGGTCATCGTCGATCCAACATCCATGACGGCTGATGCTGGTAATGATTGGGCTTGAGGACGCGCCGACGGCCGAGGGAGGCTGTTTTTGCGACCTGGACGCATGAGTCGACAACATGATAACGCGATTCCGAAGGCACGGCCAGCGACTCACGAACCAATTCCGGTAGCCTGGTCAGCGACATCCGGCCTCAACGAGACAGCTTCGACGCCAACTGATGACCTCAGGGAGGTGTCCTCGAGATCGACAAAAAACCGTGGTAGCCTCAACATCAGGAGGAATACGTGGGGGCGATCTCGATACCAACTGGGGACCTGAAAGCTCGAAGCCTGGACCGGCAGCTCGCCATCACCTGGGGACATCCGAGAGAGCGTCCGCAACACCGACGAGGACCGCAAAAGGTAGCTCAGCGGAACAGCCCCCGAGAAAAAACCCACCATGGACAGGGAACATCAGGAGGGTAGCCCGCCATCAACTGGGACTATCTGAAGAGTAGCCTGCACACGGACTGAGGGCCTTCGGAGGCAGCTCGTCACCGACCGAGGACACCCGAGAAATGACACCGTACTTCTCCACAAAATATCGGGGGTGGCTCGGACGCCAACTGCGAACAGCTGTCAGCTGCCCTCACCCACGGCCGGCAGCCTACAGATCCAAACTCTCCCAGAACTAAGGGTCACGACCTAAAACGCCAAACGGAACATCGCCAGCGGCGACCGGCGGCGTGCGCCCCGCGGCTTACCGCGAACCTCCGCACCATACCGCCACCACGCGCCGCCTCCTGCCGAGGCCGGCGGGCCGGCGCCGGCGGGCGACAGGCCCGGTTCTGCCGCCGCTGGCCGCTCAGACTCGCGGGCACAGCGGGGGCACCTCCGGCAATATCCTGGCGGGCCCAGCTCCCGCCGTGGCCGCGATCACCGCGCGAAATGACTACGAGTGGCGCTAACTGATTTTTTATTGACGCGCCTGAGAATGCGGCGGCGCGGCGGCGGGGCGGCGCGGCGATCTCGGCGAGCGCGCGCGGCCGCGCACTAACGAGCCGGCCGGCACGCTTCATTAATGCGCTACTCGGGCCGGCGGCGGGCTCGCGCCGCGCGCCCAGCAGAGGTGATCGACGCACTAGATTACCATCGATCTCTCGCGCGCCGGTCGGCCAGCCGGCCCGAGGGGCACCGGGCCAGATTAGCGGGCGGGCCGCTATCGGGGCGGCGGGGAGGCCCGGCGGCGCTGGCGCTTTCGGCGGCCGCCGCCGGCGCGTCGGCCAGTCGCAGGCCAGCGGGCCGAACGGCGCGCCGGCGATAAAGGATAATTGATGAGTTCCGGCCGCCCTCGCCGCCGTACGCAGCCGTGCCAACGACGGCGGCGGGGAGCGGCGGGCGCCGGTCGGCCAGCCGCCGCTGCCAGCGCGAGCGCCCACCACAGAACGGACCCCGCCAGGCGGGTCGCTTCTCCGGACGGCGGGGTCATCCCCTGCCACAACTGGTCATGTCGTCCAGGAGGCAGGCTCGTTCCATCCTCGGACTTTCCGCCAGCGGCGGGTCCTCCTGTGAACACAGGGAGAGCTCGCGGGGCTGACCACGTCGCCCAAGGTTGAAGAGGTGCCTTCTGCTGCGGCGCAGGGTCGCCCACCCGCACGATGCTCGATGAGGTGCCAGAGCCTTCGGAAAGTCGGGCCGCTCTCCCCAGACCCCTCCCCCGCCCACGGACGTCCGCTCTGCCGGCGGCCGCTCCTCCCCGGACGACAGCGGCGCCATTTTCGGCGGTGGCGCGCAGCAAACCATTAGCACCGGGCCCCAGCGGAAGTGGACAGACAGACGCCGGACGCCCGTCCCAAGATGGAGGAGGGCGGCGCTGGCAGCGGGCCGGCGTCCTGCCCGCCGCCGCCGCCGCCGACCGACTCCCCCATCCCCTCCCCCCCAAACGATACAATACGCTGGATAAGTAAGGAGCGCAGTCCGGCCTCGAGCGATCCCTGAGGCCGGACAAATGGCCAGAATGAACCGGTCCGATTCCTGCGGGGGCAGCCGTCGCTCCAGCGCTAATGGCCTGACGCAGCTCCGGCCGGCCGGCCGGCGCGGCGCGTCGCGGCCCGCGCGGTCACCGGGCCACCCGCCGACGACAGCGACCGCACGCGGCGCCGGGAAACACAGCACGGAGACGGCCCGGCCGGCGTCGGACCAGCGCTGGGAGCCCGAGCGCCGCCCACCCATCACAGAGCGGCGAGGAACATCACTGGGAGGGGAGGCTGGTTTGTGTGCGCAGAGGTAAAGAGGAAACAACACATCGGCCCCGGTGACTTATAGTACAGAGCTTGAAGCCATTTTGCACAACCATCTCCTGGCCACTTTAAACAGCTTTTCAGTTCAGCGAGTCTTAAAATGGCATCGCTACCGCGTTTTGTTTGCAGTCGTGGCGTAACTCAACGTTAACGTCAACCTGACTCACAACAAAGGGTGCATGTAACACTGCACCCACACACAAAACGGGGCCCTTACGGACCATATCGCGTGCTGAAGGTCTGGTCCACCATCTGAGATACCAGGCGACTGGCAGCAGACGTGTGAACTCCAACCGCACTGGCGGGCAGCTAATCCCTGGCCGAGAACTCTGCCAGCTAAAGCCACCCGCCACACTCACACAGAAATATGCAGTTGCACGAACGCCAACAGACGGTCAAGTCTGACAGCCTGACCACAATGCCCAATATGGCACGCCACTCCGCACCCCACGCATCACACGCCTCTGCCCTATCACACGAGCACGTGGGGCCTGAAGGACATCGGACCGCTTATCAGCTGCCACTCCTATTGACGAAATAATGAATGTAACGCCGCCAAGCTTGTTGTCACATGAATCCCAAGTAGCACAGGCAGCAAAAATGATGGGCACAAAAACGCAATATCTATTGGCTCTCCGTCGTTCTGAGCACGCCCCTGCGCATTCCAGCCGAGCTCAGACACTTAAGGAAATCTGGCGCCGTCAGTTTTAGTGGCTCAGAAACTCTCACCTATGTGTGGAGACTCATGACTCATGACAGTCCAGTATTCCGTCCAGGCCCGGACAAAGTTTGTTTCGGTGCGAACATTCGCATGCTATAGCTCGGTTCTGCACTGACTTTTCCAGTGCATGAAGTCAACTGATGACGCATGAAACTCACTTTCGACGTCGAACCATTCAGGACCCAGCATGTTACCACGCGAATCACATGGCTTGTTTGCTTGAATAATGTTGTGATCAGAGCCTTCACTCAGCTAAGCTTGTTGTATGACTGATGGCATACCCACCACAGCAGCTGGAACTGTAGTGTAACACCATCTAAGCCTGTTGGATAAATACAACTGAGGATTTACGTTAAGAATATCATGCCGCGACACGGCGGCTCCGTGGAGCAGCTCTCCTCATCCTCTCTGCCAAGATAATGAGGCGCTTTAGTTAGGATTACAGCCCACTTGGCTGCTGCATCCCAAACTCACTGCATCTTCCACCCACCACAAGTCAAAATCGACGTTTGACCACAAAATTAGACTATTCAAAATCCTTGTTGCTCCGACTTGCATGGCATATCATGTTTGATTTGGAAGATGGTGATTATGACCATAATTTGATAAGAGTAGGAACCTATGCACATATGGTTCACAATTAATGCCTACATTGCTGCATCACAATCAAGCTCAGTGACAGACAATTGCACCTGCATGTCATACATAGATATTCAAAATGCCTTCAGCTGTTGACATAGTCACTGCACTTTTATTATATTGCAATGATCACACCTGGAGAAAAGACATTGGCTGAAATAGCATTCAGTAACATTCAAACTGCCTGATTTATGGGAGCTACCTGGCAACAAATTTTCCTTGACACAATGACATAATGATAGCACACTTTTTATGACAGCAGTGGTGCATCAGAACTCTGTCAAGGCCGGCGTGGCGGATGCAATCAGGCCACTTCGGACTGTGGCGTCAACAAACGCACCCTGTATGCTATCGTGCAGGCCATGGTTTGTTGCCATGAAGCCGATATTTCAGCCTGACGAGTTATTCTAGATGTATGCATTACAGAAATTCATAATCACCTGACACCTACAGCATACTCAAGATGTCTGTTTCTGACCACAAAAAATCATTTGTTTTAAACAGAGCTCATGTGGTAACAATACGCACATCCATCAATACCTTTGGACTTCTCAAAGGTTTAGCACTAAATGGAAACTCATTCATCCTTGTCCAAAATATTTGCTTTCTGCTTCAACATGTGCTCTAACTCTCCTGAATTAAAATCAAGGACATGTTTCCTTTTCCAATCACAATAAAGCAATGCTACAGCTATAACTCACAACATGGTGTCAAGCCTGTTCCATGGAAATATAAGT